CGATCCGTCTTATGTCGTTTTGGTGGGCACATCCAACCGAAATTTCCATTAATTGCTAAAGTTTTAAAAATTCAATCAATTGCAAATACCGATTTCCCAAGAGACGGTTGATTTTTGGTCGGTTGGTTTCAGGTTTATTGGACTCGTAGGTTTACGGTAAAGACGCCTTTGACTGTTTTTAAGGATGATGGGTTATAATTTACTTTTACCGAAATGAAATTGTTACGCTTGTTAATTTACGTATTTTTGTACCTATATTTCTGATCACAAAAGAAAACCGCTCAAAAGACTGCTCCGCACTACTCGTTCATCGAAGAAACGAAGAGGAAAACGTAGTTCGTTGTTTTAGTAGGTGTTTTACGGCACTTGCAACACTATAAGGTCATATAAGTGCCGAAATTAGAGATGTTACAAAAAAGTACCAAAGCACACAAAAGAAGGAGGGAAGATAAGGACGATAGATCTATGATAGGAAAAAAGAAGCACACCAAACCAGAGCAAACGCCAACCGCAAACAAAAAACAGTTCGACAAGTACCCTGTAAAGACGTTTTTCGCCTCCGGTGTGTACTTCTGATGATAATGTACGAGGAACAGTATCTGGTCGGCAGGATGGTGGAGACTGGGTTCTAGGAAAACCACGGGAAGAACTGGGTTTGATAAGGAATGATAAGGAATGTACGGTTTTGTGCTTGTTCTTTCTGCCTGATTCTCTCTTTTTTGCCTCATTGTATCTATCTACCTATCTATCTATCTATCTATCTATCTATCTATCTATCTATCTATCTATCTATCTGTCTGTCTGTCTGTCTGTCTGTCTGTCTGTCTGTCTGTCTGTCTGTCTGTCTATCTATCTATCTATCAGATAGGATAAGTTAAGATACATCTTTATCGTTCAGATCCTGGCAGATTGATTTGGTGTTTCATCTCGCACACACATATAAATGACCAGTAGTATAAACAATATTAATGTTAAGCTAGATACATACTCAGTATTCTGATTGTAATTCAATGGTATTCTGATGCATACTCTAATCTATCTGTCTGTCTATCTATGTATCTATCTTTCTATCTATTTATCTATCTATCTATCTATCTATCTATCTATCTATATATATATATATATATATATATATATATATATATATATATATATATATATATATATATATATATATATCACCTTTCACCTCCTTTCCCGGCCTCAAGCAATGTTCTGTCGTCTGCTTTCGTCTCCACTTTCTGCTCCCACCCCCACACCTCCTCTGGGCCCCTACCTCTTTATGCATCCTTTCTACTGCTACTCCTTGGCTCCTTCTTACTACTGTCTTTCAGCCACACCCCTGATCTTATGGTAGGAAAGGTCTACACCTAGCCTTCTCGGACAAGTGCGAAAAATCTTGGAGGTCCCGTGTGCAAGTTGCGCCCGTTGAAGATCCGTTGGTGGTCCAAAATCGATAAGAAGAGTAGGCTTCGGCCGCCACCCGGGCAAAATTCAAAATTTCATACCAACTGAAAAACTGTTACTGTGTCCCGCGCGCTCATTTATGATCTTATGCAGTGTCGAGCTCCATAAAACACTTACCAAAAGAAGAAAAAAAAAGATTTAAAAAACACGGCAAAACAAAGCAATGAGTATCGATACCAAGGTCAAAACCATCGAGACGAGATATTCATTTAGCACAATCGCTTTTCCTCGGTCCTCCGAAGAGATGACATCAGAGAGAAGGGAAGTGTGATCATGGCATGTGCCGTGTTGTTTTTGTCGCCGTCCTCGTCGTTTCTAATCCTGTCGCTGTAGCTCCTGGAGCAGTTATAATTTGTTTCACACTTGTCCTGTCCAAAGCTGGGCTGAGCGTTCACGGGCAGACAGTAACTAAGCCCCGCTCGCAAACAGACGAATGATAAGCTTAGAGCCTTTATGAAATGCACGTGTTTCTGAAACATGTTTTGGGAAGATAATATTGTCCTTGGCCGATGGGCTTTCTTCTTTCCTTGACCGTTTTTACTGCGTCTTTCATGCTGGTGAAAGGGAAGGGGAAGAGAGAAAGAGACCGAGAGGGGGTAGGAGTGGACAAACAGACAGACAGAAAAAGAGAGTCGGGGAGAGAGGGCAGTTAGAAATAGATTATGGATGTTCAGAGACTAATGACATAAATGGAAGGAGATCTCTAAGAATAGTAACAGTGTAGAAAAGAAGAAAATGTGTTTTAGACATTGATTTCATCTATCTATCTATCTATCTATCTGCCTGTCTATCTATCTGTTTGATTTGGTGACTGTGGGTTGTTATCGTGCTTTTTTGTCTAGAAAACACTTCATTGGTATCTTCACCTTTACGCCTTTGATCTTATTATAATGATCATAATGATCTTCATTCTTTTCTTTTCTTTAAAACTTGTGCAACATTGTACTCTTTCTTTGGTTAATTCCTTTGATTTGGGTGCTATCTGTTGCTGTTATTGCTGTTATTTTTCCGGCTGCTGTTGTAGCTGTTTTCGGCTGTTCTTGGTCTTTGCGTTTACGTTCTGTGCCCAAGTTGGCGTTGTTTTTGTTGTCATTTTGATCTCAAAGTACATGGTCCAATGTCAGAACACGGGACTGAAACCTTGTCTACCTGTACGATCGAGAAAAATAATCTTGTCCTCATGCCATTTCAAACTTGTTTTCTTTTTCTTCAGCTTAATTCAGTTGTTAACATAACCCATGACGTGGCTTGGGTAGCCTAATGGTAAGGCTTCCGGATCCATATTCGTGAGAATGCGGGTTTGGGGGTTCGAGCCTCAGCTTGCTCCGACGTTTTCCTCCCGTGAAAGACATTTCTACATGAATTTCCTTATTTGGCTCTGTCCTTCCTTTCAAAGATTTCGGAGGTCCCACCTCTTAAATAACCTAATAGTGTTGATAGGAATGTTAAACCTATACCATTCTTACATTTCCTACCCCATGACTTCAGTCTCTCAGAGAGAGCACCGACTGACACGTTTTTTATTCCCGCTTGGAACCCTCACAAACGCCCTTTGCCTGTTTTGCTGAAGTGCATTCTTCCTCGATTCTTCTATCAACTTGAAATTTTGAAAGGGCTTCTTTGGCACGCTATGCTGAAGCCAGAGAGAACGAATGTATACCCGGAACATGCCTCTGCATCCTAGTTTCGATAGCCCTTTTTAACTTGACTCTCAATATTGTGTTTCGTCCAGAACTGACTACGAATATAAAATAGTTAAATGTGCCTTACTTCGATGCTTAAATGACGCAAGATAACATTAGCGCTTTTGTCTGTTTCTAGGCTATCGAATTTTTTGAGAGCACAGTTTTTCCTTCACCTTTCGTGCGGTGTTAGGTGTGTGTGTGTGTGTGTGGATTTTTTTGTTTGTTGTTGTTGTTGTTGTTGTTGTGGGGAGCGCTCTCCGATTCTTCCTCAACGCCATTCTCTCTGTCTGTCGTTTCTTTTTACATTTCTTATTGTTTGGCTGCTAGCTATGCGTTAGTGGCACCGCCCCCATCCCGACTCATTTTACCTGAGTGTGGTATAACCGTTAAACGGTTTCCATTGCGAACCCCGAAAACATCGCGGGAAAGAGTTGAGTTGAGTATCCCAGTCTTTCTGTAGGGATATAGTATTCCACACAGCCCGGATTTGACCTTAGGAAGCAGATTGAAGCAGCCCGGGACTAAAATTACATGTATTTGTATCGTGTCGATGGGGGCGTAGAAAATAATATACATTCAACACAGCTCATTCGTTGTTAATCCAACTCGGGGGTGTTTTTTCTCTGTGTGTGTGTGGGGGGGGGGGGGGGTGTTTTGTTTTGGGGGTTTTTTGTTAGGTTTTTTTTTTCGTTTATTGTTTTTTGTTGTGTTTTTTTTTTTTTTTGTTCAAACTAAAGCTAGCCCGTAAAAAAAAAATCACCCACCTCCCGTTGTTGTAACACTTTCAAAATTGGAGTTTATGTGAGCGGATTAGGTCATTCAGAACGCGCAAGTTGCTCACTAAGTGGTGAAAGTAGATTTTTAATTAGAATTATAATTGGACGAAAGAGTCTTCCTTTTATCTTTTTTTCTTTCTTTCACCATGCCCCTTTTTGATATTTTTAGCTTTTTAAAATTTTATAGTGTGTACTTTTTATTTTATTTTTATTATGTTTGTTCAAATGTGCTTCAAGAGATCGGGGAAATTTGTTGGAGCATTTTAGTTCAATTCGAGAAGACAGTGGTTTGTATTGCAATGAGATATTTTCACCCTGACTATTAATAGCACTTTTCTTTGATGGAACAACGTCTTTCATTCCACAAATCTGTAGTAAATACTTCGGGTGCCTCGCTTTACAGATGTTTATGAGAGTAAAAGTCTTAGATTGCCGAAGAAAGCGGCCTTGGACAGTGTTGGAGCCTGACAGTGTTTATTATTGGAATCCGATCATCGCGTACGACGGGACGTAAGATCTTATTGAGGAGGTTGAATTTGTTGTATGTCGCTCCGCTCCCACTGATTATATCGATTATACCACATGGTCTGTCCAGTAAATTCGCCCCCATAATAGTAGGTTTGATCGTGAGTGTATCGAAATTCTTTGCTTGCCTCAGATTCGATTCGTCGCTTGGCTACGGTTCATAGTTTTAGTCGGTGGATTGAGATATCCCTGAACCGTTATGCTTTTTTCTCACGACATAATATTATGTCCTGGCTTGTCTTTTCTTTATTTTCGTCTGAAATTACGTATATTGTATTGGTAATTTTTTTCTACAACTGGTTGGAAAGAGCATTATGTACGCCTTTCCTAGTTTTGATGTGAGATTGAGACTATTTGTCAGTGTTGTTCGCTTCAAACCTGAACCTTGTGTGTATGTGTGTGTGTGTGTTCGTATAATATGTGTGTGTATGTCTGTGCGTGCGTGTGCGCGTGTGTGTGTCTGTGTGTGTTTATTTATGTTTGTGTATGTATTTGTTTGTACGTATTATTTCAATAGTTCACGTTTTGCTATGTATCTCTTCCCCAGGCATACGCGTTTCTATACCTCAACTCCATGTGCAACCCAATCATCTACGCGTTCCGCTCTCCTGCTTTCCGGGAGGGATACAAGGAGATTCTCTGTCAGACCCCCAGCTACGTCATCAGCGATGGTAGGCAGTCTTCTTATCTGCATGTACCTTTTAAGTTATAATCAGTCATTTCATTATGCAGTAATCGGATTAGATCTTTATTTTTTAATCAAATATAAGCTCAAGCAATCCTCGCGCTGTGGATTGGCCATTACTTGAATATTTCCCTAATCGCTTCAATGATTACTTGTGTTGTTTTTTTCCTAAATGTTGCTGGACGCTTTTGTATTGTGTAGGAACGCTAACAAAGAAACTTTTTTTTTTCGTTTTCCTAGAACTTAATTCTTGCTTTTTGTTTGTGTTCAGCATATTCCTGACGTTCACTCCATGTCGAAGCCCTGATGTCCTATTTACCCGGTGTATGCGACAGATTTGCTTTTTTAACACGTCATTCTGTCTTGGAAAGGTGCCAATGTCATATTGTATGAATTGTTGAATAATCCAGTCCAAGTTCAGATGTGTACATTCAGCGGTGAACGGTGTTTCCATACACATACTTACGTTTAAAAGAAGAATGTTTACCGGTTATACTTTTTAGAATGCCGGTTTTTGTGTTTTTGTTGGAATTTAATATGAGGCATTTGTTGAAATGTCTCTTTTTATCTTTCAGGGTCTATTAATGATTATTTTTGTCCTCCTATTTTATGCAAAAGTTTCTGAACGAAGAATTGTTCCGTTCTTTTACAGAGCTGTGTCCGAGTGACGTTTTACGTTAAGTAACAGTTACTTCTTCTAACAAGGTGTTTTTTGCGTTCAAAGAAATAATTTTAGATACTGGAAACCTCTCAGTTAGTCTGTCAGTATCCGTTGTGATGATGTCAGAAGCCTCGGACTGGCCTCAAACAGACTCAGGAGGGTTGCTTCAAGAAAGTATTTTAGGTTGTTTAGGTCACGTAAGAGATGAAAATAATCTCCAATCCAACAACTGAATGTCGTTCAGACTTTGACATCATACCCGGGCGGGACCCCTTTTTTAGACACGCTGTTTTATGACAAATTTAGAAGACCAAAGGATTGTATCTCAAAAGTACATATTTTCAGGAGAAGCAAGAAAATAGGGATGTACTTCGCTGTAATGCGTCACTAAATCAAAGTTTGTACATAAAAAATGGTTCACTCTTCTATTTGAGACTCTTGATTTCTTAAGATACTTTCTAGAAAATGCTGTGGGTATTTCAAATAATTGCTCGTTTTCTTGTACTTTTAGGGAGTGGCGTTTCTTGTACAGAAAAGTAGGAGCAGACACATTCATATAAATTATTTTTTTCTTTTTCAGAATCGAAACAAAATGTTATCATCCATGTTGGTCTTATTTATAGTTTTGTCGTTGTATTTTAGAAGCTTTTTTTTCTAGATTGAACTGTCTTGTTGAGCTTGTTGTTGAACACAATAGATTATTTCCCACGTATAATTCTTCTGCTATTCATATCACTTTAGGCCTGCCGTTTTGGTACAAATGGCGCACTTCTGCAAGCTACCATTTATGTCTGAATATTAAATATTTTTACCTTGAGATTAAAAGTTTTACCAAATTTTCCAGCATTATTTTAACCATGCTGTCTTAATCTGTCCATTCCGAAAGGGTTGCTTTGTTCCGGCGGTACCACTTTGAGTCATGGAGGTCCTTGAAACTAGATAAGGGCACGCCACGCTAAAATGCTAAACGCAGCCACACGAACAACTCATTCACAGTATGAGCGAATGGACGTAAACTTCTATTCAGTGCCAAATTACGTAGTGAACAGGACTGTTGTGGTTACCATGCTCACGGTTGAATTTTGGCTATATCGTTTTGCAGAACAATTGACCCTGTTAACCATGTTGGACTTCGTCTCGTACCTTTTAGCGTGGCCGTACCCGATAGTCTTCAGTTAACCAGTCGATTCACAAGGTGTCAAGTGGACACGCCATTAGCTAACATGTGTTATGTCGATCCACAGTCTGTCAAGTGAACAAGTCTCTGGCTGTTGGTCTCCTGATAAAGCAACTCCACTACTGATTTTTAAATTATTTTGTTTTGACGTTATCTTTGATGATGGCATAATTAAGTCTTATTATGTAAATGCTACCAGCGTCAGTTCTTTCTTCTGCTTTATTACACATTATGGACATAATATTAATGTTCACTCATTAATAAGTTGCTCCAACTCATCAAGAAGACGCCATCTATGGTGTATCGATTAGGTGCTTTGCAATCACACGCGGGAGATGTGTGGGGAGTATCTCCGACTTTCTGCTTGGACGTTTCATCCCTCTCAGCCCTGCCTGATTTGCCATGATAGGTTCAAAACAGCCCTCTTCCTAAATGATGTAATTAGTGTCGTTTAGGGCGGAAAGTTTCTACCATGTATAAGTTACCTCAGCCTTTAAAATATCTCGTATCTTTATTTTAAATCATCCTATTTTTTCCCTAGACTGGAACGCAAAACGTAGTGCTTAGTTTTTTTAGTAAGTCACCATGAACATATTTTACAAGTAAATATTATTTCCCAACTTGCGTTCTTTCCCATTGCTCCTTTGCTGATAAACAACGACATAGATCGAAGCTCACTAAGAAAATCGGAAAAGATGCCAGATTGGTGGAGATAAGCTTCCATTAAATGGCAGCTGTTAGCACCAAGTATGGTGCTTTTGAATGCTACCCCTTTCATTTTTTTATTATTTTTTTTGTGTGTCTTTGAATGTCAGAGAGTACAGATATGTTACCTTTTCAGATGATTCAACAATGCCACAGACTGATTTTACCAAGCATCATGTGTCTGTCTGTCTGTGTCTGACTGTCTCTCTGTCTGTCTGTCTGTCTGTCTGTCTGTCTGTCTGTCTGTCTGTCTGTCTGTCTGTCTGTCTGTCTGTTTGTCTGCCTGTCTGTCTGTCTGTCTGTCTGTCTCTCTCTCTCTCTCTCTCTCTCTCTCTCTCTCTCTCTCTCTCTCTCTCTGTCTCTGTCTCTGTCTCTCTCTCTCTCTCTCTCTCTCTCTCTGTCTGTCTGTCTCTCTCTCTCTCTCTCTCTCTCTCTCTCTCTCTCTCTCTCTCTCTCTCTCTCTCTCTCTCTCTCTTACTTCCCAGAATCTATTTGAAGAGACGGAATGTTTTCTTTTACGTACACCTAAACCAATAATTTACACTGGCTGTAGATGGCTAGGAAAGCCCATGACGCTTTCCATATATAATATTAAATGTCTATGCAGTCACGCGATTGACCATTGGGTGTCCACCCCACACTGCCACTGTCCACAGGCCCTATGGGGACATTCCGATGCCAGGCGTACACAGCGGCCCGTCCGCCGTACCCGCGATCTGTGTCCAGGTGATCACAGCATGCCCACCCCACCCCTCCCCTACACACTTGGCACTACGCCACCGCACGTGCAACGTAGAACGTGAAACAATAAATGTGTGGCCTTGGAAACGCATACGAAATTGGTTCTCGACGTATGTCATGATACCCCTGTGATAATGGATGTCTTTGAGAAAGTTCTCTCCTCAGGACGTTCAAGCAAAACTCCCCGAGTAGTGTTTCTCGAGCAACGAGATGTTTCCTCGTGAGGGGGCTGGATAGGGTTTGTCTAGGGCTCCTTGGTTCGAGATTTGGGCACTGTACGTCTTTTGGGTCTTGCTATTAAAATGGGCTCGGAATAAAATCCTCCAAGTGAGTTCCTTTTTCTTTTTGAAAATTGACAACTACTTATTCAGAACGAGTATGAAAAAGGGGACCAAATTGAAATGAGAATAGGAACGTAACATTCTGGACAACATTGCGAGTTTTCATTGTTCGAATCTTTTACGGAGTGTTCTTGAACTTGGATTTTTAGGGGGGGGGTGGTACATTCATGGTACTCTACTCGCCTGCCTCAGTCCAATCGGAGATGGAATTCAAATCAGAGGTGACTCCAGGTGACACAGGGGTTGACTCTAGGCGGCAAAAAGATGACTCAGTGTGACACTGGTGTGACTAAATGTGGCATAGAAGTGACACAGATAATGACTCAAGATGACACAGAGATGACCAGAGAAATACCCGTTTAGGATTACAGAGTCTTTCAACCCTCACCCTGCATGTATACATACTTGTCGGTTGAACTGGTTTCCAGACTCATTATCAGTCTGTCTGGGCTTCAATCTCCTGTGGAGTTGACGCTGTTTGTTATGCCCTTGTGAAAGACACTTTCCTCACAACGCCTATTGGTCAGCTGGAGACAGCTTCCTGTTTGTGAAGAGGTTGGAAAGGCGTTAGAATAAGGCATGGAGCAGGGGTGGCGGAAGATGTAATGAACTGATGTCTTGTTCAGAGCGGATGCTACATTGTCTCATTTACGTCTCACAGTAGAAATCTAGATATCCTTGTTTGTTGGTTGGGGAGGGTAAAGTATTTCCGGGATTTGAAAAAAAAAATTGGATTTTTTGGGGGGAAAAGGGGGGGGGGGCAAGGTAGACACCAAAAGAACTGCAATGATGTTTCTCTGATTGAAAAGCATTTTAATCAAATATCCTATTTGTAAAGGCTTGGAAGTTTTGCTTGATCGTTTTGAGAGCCTTAAGTTTTGATGTTATATAGGATTTTTAGAAGTTCCATGTCGTTGCATTCTGCTGAAAGATGCCGGATTGCCGCCTGAATATACGAGTAGAAAGTATTCATTTTACACTTCGTTGTCACTTTGGGATCCACTCTTCAAAGGTTCCATCTTTAAAATGTTTGTTTGGCATAGTCAAATTCAAACCCGTTTTCTAGCCTGATATTAAATGCTTTCCAGGTTTAAACATTTCCTGTGCACGCTGTTGCTCATTCTTGAGGACTGTCTTCAAAAAAATGTTTTCTCATATTTCCTTTATGGAACGCATTTGTGTCATCATATGAGGCAGAGATATATATTTTTTCGTATCCTGTCTTTCTTATGACTTTTTAAAAATTGCTAATCTGCCCACAAAGATTTTGTTTCCCTTTTCACTTTCGCCTTCTAGATGCATTATGTTGAACCTGTTTATCCCCACTCCCCCGTCCCCCTTGCCGCGGGATGTCATATTTT